AGAAGAAAATTGTCCTTTATTTGTAATTTGCACAGGTATGAGTTCAGGCACATTGGCATGGTGCATTTTGGGGGGTGGGCTTTGGGCCTTGCTCAGGTGCCCATTTGAGATGTGACTGTTCTGCCAAGGTTGGGGCTTAAACCCATGACCTTCTGATCACAGGCACAGAGGCTTAGCCCGCTAAACCACACGGGCGGGGGGCGGGGGGGCACGCAGTCAGGGTGGAGATGCAGAGGGCCACGTCCGGGGTCAGGATTGCGCTGGAGACCTTCTGATGTTGGCCGAGCTATGTGCGTGGTTAGACGCGTGGTGCAGAGACACGTCCCTGTGGAGAAACACAACACGGCGGGAAGCGTCTCGGGTGAAAAGCCGGCATGTGGGGAGCCCCGTCTGCGGAAAATCTGTAGCGGGGAGAATTGTCCCTGTGGTGGGAATTACGCCTGTGGTCAGAGCCGTAATGTGGAGCCTTGGGTACAGTTTAAAAAAAAAAAAAAGGGAAGAAAATAGAGAAGAACGTTCCGGTAGTCGGAAACGTGCAGGAAAACGTGTCTGCGGCCAGAAGTGCCGTGCGGAACGGAGGCTGGCATGGCACGCTCAATCGAGGTCACGTGGAATCCGTTCCGCTCGTCCGGGACATGGGCTGTCGTGCGAAATGACCGCCATCGTGGGTCTCAGATGATTCTTTGCCCTCGAGCTTCGCACATACCTCCAGAGGGCCGGCGGGGCTGCATTTTAGCTCGTGGCCGGAACCTTTCTTTTACGGGGCGTTATTCATGTGTAAGCTGCCTTCTGCCAGCGTGCGTGTGTGAGCACAGAAGCTTCCTTTGGCCTTTTGCTCGCATAAAGTGTGAGTTCGCTGTTTGGGAATGTCCTGGGAAAACACGGAATGGGAGGAATATTGACGTTCGGTAGCCTGCAATTGCTTTTCCCCTCCTAAGTTTATCATTTCAAGATGTTAAAACAGTTAAGTTATTTATTTAAACTTAAATGGTCCATTAAGGCCAATATAATACCACATTATTATCCAGCTTTTTCCAAGTAGGTAATTAAGGAGGCACCAAGACAAGCCTGTGAGACAATGCCAGTGTTTCCTGGGAGTTTAACTGAATGATGATCATGAGATTTTCTTTGCAGGGGTGTTGAGGGATTATAGTTGGGTGGGGGGGGGTGGTAGCTTTGGGTTGGTGGGTTGGAGTGGTCGAAGGCGATTGGATGACCTGGGGGGACCTTGTTGACCTGCGGTGTTCAGATGCTCATAAGTGTGTGCGAGGCCACCTTCTGTTCCTGAGCCATGGTGACGGGAGAAGAAGATGACAGTCTCATCAACACAACTGGGTAGCATCGCCGAGAAGTGGGCGTGATCGACGTTCTTTCCCAGGGGATTCCTCTGCCATGTAAACCAAGCCTAGGCGACGTACAGAAGGATCTTGTGAAGAGAGTCAGGCAGCAATATTAATCAGCCAAGCAGCAGGTCACGGATTCAGAGGATCAGATGCTGCCCTTTTGCCCCTTGGGGCAAGACACTTAACCTGTAGTATTTTTGTAGGAACTGCTCTTCAAACCAGTGTGTTACAGGAAAGCCATTTCAGTTTGCCGTAAATCCCCATTAGCAGGGCTGATAGTAATCTCTATGACTTATTGGTTTTAATGTGATTCAGAATGGGTCTGTGTTCTGGTGTTGTGTGTCTCCTCAAAATGGAATGTACAAGTCATGGATGGAGCAATGATTGAATCGCTTGGGGACATAGATTAGGTTGCCAAATGTGAACCCGAGTGTTTTTGTTTTTTTAAAACTAAAATTGTATCGTTGAAGAATGTAGATTTGATAGTATTCATGGTGTGGTGAACAGTAACGATAACGTGCTGTGACATCATTGGTCAACTACTGGCAGGCAAAACATGGGACACCCGGTCAGCCGGAGGCGCTGTCGACTTGGCGCAGTGTGCAGACACGCGTGACATGTTGGGGTGAACATGCCGTCAAACACGGCCGAGGACTGATATGCTGCTGCTGCCATAAGGTGTGATGCTCGCCCACACGTCGTGTTGGGATATTTGACTTGGCTGCGATGGCAGCAGCCTGGCCGTGCCATTAGAAGGACCTTTCCCAGTCTTCGCATGGATCGAATGCTTTTCTTGGTCCTGTCTTTTACCGGTTTATGTGATGTTATGCTGTTCCACTCCCAGCCTTCATTTACGCAAATGGCCTGTGAAGCAAGTGTTGGCCATTCAAGCAGGGCCGACCCTAAGATGTCGGAGGTGGGGTCGCACTTTGTGGAGACATTTAAAGGTCTCCAGATGTCAACTGGAACTGGGTCCTGATCTTCTACAGCATTGAAGACCACAAATACTTGAGTGTTTTATTCAAAGGTGGTCATTTTCAAAGCATTGTTGTCATTTAAGGCCGTTTTGTCTTTGGCCTGTAACTGAGGTCCATAGTTTTCAGCGATGTATCCCGTCGTTGTGCTGATCCCAGTACGGAGGACAGCCTTCTGATGGTGTCTGGTGGCCCACCCTGGAGAAGCTCAACATGCTGATCGCTCAGCGTGGATTTCAGTTACAGGCTGATCAGGGCTCAGGAGTCTAATCTCAAAACCATCTGGTTCCTGTCAATTTTTATATATCAGATAATGATAGATTAGCCCAAAAATGTTGCAGTCAGTGACACAGTGACCTCAGAGAGGCTGGGCTGCTATCAAACCTGTACTGGTTTGGGGGGGTATGATTTTTCGGCTCTCCACTGGACTGCACTCCAGTTCATTTTACTTTTCCGCAACAGGAGAGGGGACCTTGCCTGGACCTTCTGAAACAGGTCAGCTTGTGAGGTTTAATCCAAACCTATAGGTAATTTTGACGTTGGTGATCTCCTCCTTGTTCCTGATAAAATGTGCTGATATCACTGTTATCAGAAGTTGTTACTATGGTTCTTTAACAACCTTTGCTTTGTAACGCCAGTCAACTGGTATGTACCTCTTCTGTACTGTATCGTTGCCCTGAGGTGACTGGGGTATCCAGTTTACCTCCCTATGGAGTGCTCTGTATGAGTAGTTATGAAAATTAATGGTTTTAATAAGTCAAAATATGTGAAATTAGATAGCTTACAATTTGTCTTGTGTCTCAGTTAGTGTTCCTGTGAAAGGCCTGTAGCATAATTTTGATGCTTGTGGTAATAACTGACCAACGCATTGGAAATTGATCCGGTTTTGTCCAGCCAGACTCAGAGTTAATCTCCTTTTGGGCTGCTGGACACTGTTTCCCTTAGATCTCCGTTGCCATGTAAGGCTTGTGTTGGATGTTTCTTCTGTGGCTTTTCCCCTCCTGTTGTATGCACGCCTTCCTAAGCCCATCAAAACGGTCTTACCACCCCTGAATTGTTCATGCCACCCTCTTTGGCTTTTCTCTTCCTCTTCTCTGCTAAGGAAGCCCACCTGGGTTTTTTCCCTGCATTTTTGTGCTTTTCTGCTCAGTCATTTTGTTTGCCTGTATGCCTTTGCACTTTGATGTTAATGTGCTCGCAGGGCTGGTTCTGCCTTTTGAGGGGTCCTAGGCAATCCTTCATTTGGGACGCCCCTCTACCAAGAATATTGGTGGTCATTTCACTTCCTCCGCAAGGCAGGTAATTCGGGGACCTGCCTATTCTGTCTGTAGCTAGAGGGAGACCCCATGTGCGTGTTTTCATGTTCAGTGGTCATGTTCAGTGGTTTTCATAGAAGCTTGTGTTCAGTGGTTTTCATAGAAGCTAGAGTAGGCACGCTGTTATGACCCTACCCTGCCTCTTTGTAAGAGTGCTGTTGCCCTTGAGTCATCTATAATGGGGGGGTGGGGGGGGGGGCTTTTTCTGAGTTCTCCACCAAACACAGAACCCAGGAATGAGGATGATGTCAGTCATGTGCTTATCCATATAACAGTTGTCTGTACCACCTCAAATATATAACATTTTAATCCCCATTCCCCTAAAGCCCTCTTTCAAAAGGTTGTCTTTCAATTACCTAGTCAAGCAATAGCCTGATAGGACAGGAACAGTTACACCTCCTCTCCAAGTCAACATATCACATGACCCCTCCCACTGGTAGCATTGCATCGTCATGCCAGCCCATGGGGGTTCTGTTTGCGTTTGTCAGTCCAAGGAGCTTCTCTGTCATGCCCCTACAGGCTCGGGGGAGCTGGGATGCCAATGCTTTTGGTACAGGCTGTAAGTGTTCTGATACCCAGTAGCTGCTGACGGACAGCGTCTGACAGGGTCTTCGCAGGGCAGTGCCAAGAAGCACAGAACCTGTCAGAACCTGTCAGAACCAGGCAGCATCACCTGCCTGTTGTGGTGTGGACTGTCGTGTATGACTCTATTCAGTGTGGTATCTCGGCCTTTTGCACATTCAGACATCTCGAGTTAGTGCCAGTCGGAATTCTTCGTCTCAGTAGGTTAGGGATCAGTGCCCATGACCATAGAGATGTGGGGCTGAATCCTTCGGTCTGCAGGGTGCTCACAAGGCCGTTAAGCCTAAGTGCTTTGGAGGTGCGGGATGCTGGCTGAACCTGCTCCCTAACCCCAAGCTTTCCTCACAAGATATCTAAATCTCTCTATTATTTTTGGTATCCTCTGTCATCCACCTGCTTACAGCACAGGGTCACAGTGTAAGGAGCACTCTCCTTCCCTGGCTCAGTGTAACCGAGCAGTAATGTTACTCTCCTTCCCTGGCTCAGTGTAACCGAGCAGTAATGTTACTCTCCTTCCCTGGCTCAGTGTAACCGAGCAGTAATGTTACTCTCCTTCCCTGGCTCAGTGTAACCGAGCAGTAGTGTTACTCTCCTTCCCTGGCTCAGTGTAACCGAGCAGTAACATTTTACTCTCCTTCCCAGGCTCAGTTCTAACACAGCAGTAACATGTTACTCTCCTTCCCAGGCTCAGTTCTAACACAGCAGTAACATCTTACTCTCCTTTCCAGGCTCAGTTGTAACAGAGCAGTAACGTGTTACTGTCCCTCTGCCCTGTCTTCACACAGACATCGACGAGTGTCAAGAGAACAATGGCGGCTGCGACCACTTCTGCAGGAACACGGTGGGGAGCTTCGAGTGCAGCTGTCAAAAAGGCCACAAGCTGCTGACGGACGAGCGCAGCTGCCAAGGTGAGAGGCAAGCTGCCAGGATGCCATCTTCGTCCCCCGTCATGTGACATGGCCCCACATGGTCCCTCCCCTACCTGGCACAAATCCCCTGACCCACTATGGATCTGCTGCGTGTTCACTGAGCCCCTGAGATCCTCTGCACATGTTACCATGGTTACTTATTGACAATGAATGCTGACTCCTGAATACAAGTTACAACAGGTGCCACGCCAAGGCAAGTGAGTGCAGAGTGCGATTTCATTTTCCCAACAAAGCCACAATCATCTGAAACTTTACTAACACTAAAGAGCTCCCTTATTGTCATTATTTTACGTTTTTTATTCTTTATGAAAGGCATATTTCAGTGTGTGTTCCATCCATCCATCTTATAACAACTTTTTCTGCACAGGCTTACTGGATTACACACACTCACACTGGGCATGTGGCAAACGGTTTGAATCTGGTGACTTTGCAGCACTGAATGTTTTCTTGATACCTGAGAAGTGAAATGATGAGGCTGAAAGGTGGTAGATAGAAGCCAGGAACATTGATTCATTGTGAGCAAACCTGCAGCTACAGTAAAGTAGCACAGAAGCGAACCCTGAGACTCGATTTTCTTGTAATATGAGGCTCAGGCTTCGACTGCGGCCGTATTTGCACCAAGCACTCTGCAGTTTCATGCTACTGACACAGTAAAGCCCCAGTAACTCTGTTTCCAGACTCCTACAGGGTTAATGGTTTTTGGAGATATAGGTGGCCTGACTGTCACTTTGATGACATCGTGTTTTTTTTTTTCTCTCAAGAGGGTTTGGTTAGCACAACCATTGCTTCCAGTGGCTGTCTGGGTCTCATTGTAATGGCCCTATAGTGGTCTGTGGTTTGGCTTATTTGCCATACTGATGAGATCCAACGAGGAGCCAAAAAACGAGAACCTGATCCTGTGGGTGTAATTTGGGAAGAACACGGGAAGCTGAGCTCCCATTTCATAACGCTTAGGAAATGTCCACGCTCTCTTTCAGCTGTCACGACTCTTTGGGTTCGACGGGTGTGATGATATTTGTGATGTGTGTGTTGAAGGTACAGAAACCGAATGGGTATGGAGGGTGGGGTCTAGCTGGAGTCTGCCAACGCTGAGAATGAGGAATCTTACCCACCTCAATTGAGTGTGGGGTCTTTGAAGATGACCAAAGACATTTTTGGATCCACAGACTGCAATGCCTGGGCTGCAAGCCCATTCGTTTTACCTGTTGCCATTCCATTGACACTCAAGTACTTGTCAAAAACATGAGGCAGACCTTAGCAGTCAGCAGTCAATCTAGAGCTGTGGGAACATGCCTGAAGAACAAGGCCGTCCATTGATTTCAGTCCCACAGCGTGGATCTGTATCAGTCCTCGGCTGGTCCTCTTTTCCTCACACTTTCTTCCCATTTCTCTAAGCAACGCGTGCGTCGTGTTTCTGCCCAGCGTTGCTCCTTCTGCTGGCAGGTATCTTCTGGAGAGACACCTTCGAGGAATGCTGCCAGGATTCACACAGGAGAGGGTGTTGGGTGGGGGGGTTAATTAACCTGGCCTTGTGCCTGCTTAGAGGATAATGTCCCATCTAGCAGACCTGCCAGGGTAATAGATAATGACTCGTACCTCTTTAGCAGAATTGATTGTACTCTTTGTAAGCAGTAATAAATATTGTACTTTTGTCCCTGCGGTGTTGGGGATTGGCGATGGGGGGGGGAGACAGACAGACATTGGCCCTGTGGTCCTGTGAGTGGTTCTGTGCCTGTGCACTCACCTTGAAGCCCCCTCCTCTTTCATCTTCAATTCCTTGTGATCTCTATCAGAGGTTGGTGGAGTCATTAAGGCTCAGGTTGTGGATAATCTGACAAAATTAGCTCTGAATGGCCGTTTTGTAACATGTCTATTGATCTCAAAGGTTAAGATTAATTGTGCGCTGTAACTGTACAACTTAAATGACATCTTAACGTATCATTTTTTATATGGAACACTGGATATTTATAATATTAAGTAAAAAAAAAAAAAGATTGATATAAGCCAGGAAAGGATCATATAGTCCGTATGAATGGAACAGAAACGTGAAACATCACCTGCAGACACTAAGTAAACTGGTTGCTTGGGAAGTTTATGCACGGGCCGGTGTTGACTGCCGACGTTGACTGCGGTCTGCATTTGGAGGCCGCTCCAGTCTGTTGGGTCGTCATCAGATCTCACCAAAATGGTTCAAAGCAAATACTTGACAAGGAACAAGTTTTTTTCTTTTCACTGCATATTTTTTTCATGAACAAAGTGCACATGTATGCATCTCTGATGTGGTGTACTCGCCTTAATGCCTCCGTGTTTGTGAAGGAGACCAGTGTTTTGCTATTGACTTGTAACACACACTCCGAGTCATAAGTTTTATGGCAGAATCTGAATGACATCAAACGATAGAAGCAAATCCTTCAATGTAATGCACCAGATAACATATTCCATTCTAATGTTCTGCTCAAACATATAAAATACGTGTCGGTCTGGTAATTATTAACATTTGTTTACTCGCAGCAGATCTTTTTAAATACAACATCATTGATTCTGTGTGGAGGGCCTTAACACAAGACAGAAACCATTTTCACATATTAATCTGAATGCTGTTATAATGAACAGGATTGGAGACAGCAGTGTCAAATAAAATTGCACTTTAATAGGAAACGTTGGGATGGATCCAGATGGCTTTATTGCCAAGTGTAAAGCGCTCTCTTTCTAATTATCCCACTAAGGGAAATGTTCTTGGATTTGATGCATGAGACACTTTGATTCACTGTCTGGTAACAGTGTTTTTGCTGGAACTGAGCTATGGGGCTTGTGAGTGAACAGTCAGACCTAATGTTGCCACGATAGCTTTAAGTGCAGGGGTCAGGGAAGGTACTTGCATTCCCGAACTGCTGGGTTGATCAGGATGATTGATTCATCCATTGTTATCAGCTGGGACACTTTTCCTGCTTTCAAAGATCAGCACCTGTGCGTTTGTTTAATCAATAAAGAAAACTCTTGATGACCTGATGATGGCCGACTAATCTCACTACTAGACCAAAAGCCTGACTGACAGCCAGCTGCCTTTCACAGGCGTATTGTGGCACGTATGGTGGAACAGAGAGGGAGTTTGTTCTTGAAAAAGATGGAAGGCCGATCACCTGGTGAGAGTGATCTGTATCAAAGGGAGATTTGAGGTCGACAGTGTTCTGGAGAGCGATAGGGCGATAGTGTCTGTCTTTTTGTGGAAAATTCACTTACAGGTAGATGTAGCGTAGGGACCTGCTTCTGTTCCTGCTTGGGGAACTTCAATAGCCTCTTATCTACATTCGATCAGCGCCGGTAGGAGTCTGACACTCATCAGATCGTCGGCCTTTGTGGGGAAGTGGACCCCCCCCGCCCCCGACCTCCGGCTGCACCTGTGTCCTGATCACATGACCCCTGATTTTGCATTTACAGGCAGTGAGATTTCCCGGCATTAACCCTCAGACTGTCCTCACAGCTCCAAACGCCTGATCGTGCGGCACAAGTGTTTAGGAATCAAGGACTGCAAGGGATTTTATTACCCAAGGGCACCTTTTCTGAACGCTGATATCACAGCAGGGATCATGGATCCAGACCAGTTATTAAGGGGGAAATGGCGGTGATAGTGCTGGGGGGGGATTTGTCTGATTCTAACTTCAAACAATCCCTCGTGCACAGGGACCCTTGGGAAATGGTAGCCCCCTCCCCTCAATCAGTTAGTCTTCTCTGTGTTGCGGCTCTGTTCCAACTCCCACCACCCATTTATAACGCGACCTGCTTTTGGCTTCCTGCCATACCTCCCAGGTCGGATGATCCACGAATCTGTGTGGAGATCGGTTAGTGGGAATGCTGCTGTAACTGCACCCTCCACCTGTAGTACGATATGATAGCTTGACAATATCCCAGTTGTAACAGACCAGTGTTGAGCTACAGCAGGGGGATAAACAGGGGCGGGGCCACAAGGGCACTGGGCACAAGCTGATTGGTCCCCGGAGTGCCCCCTTCCCTGTCACTCACCATTTCAAAACATATCATTGGATAATGATAAGGTTGGCCCCATTGTATGAATTACAACCCCTCTTATGACCCCCCACCTTAAAGGATCCAAGAATCATCCCTGCCTCCTCGCTATAGGACACCCAAATCGACACCCAAAGCTGCATTTCTAGCACTTGCTATGAACCTCGACTCTCCAAACACGGTGCTATCCGTAGTCATCACTGCAGCGGGGCTTGCAGGTCACATCTATAACAGGTCACGGAAATCTGGGCTCCTACATACTTCTGGATAATGGGGGGGGGCATGTGTTACAGTCTGCTGCCTAGCAATCTTGTTAAGGGAGTGCTAACTTACAGCTGTACGGCGTGAAGTGCTCTCAGATCGCGCACGAGCATAGCGTCACGAACAAGGCGACGGACTCCATGCTTCTGTTGGCCAGGTCTATTGAAAACTGTGATTTCCCTCTGTGTTTTCAACGCATCGGTAAATATCCGCGTCCTTTTTGCTGGGACTGCTCTCTGATTAGCGGCAGCTAATTATCATTCAGCTTTTGGTAATTTATAGTCGGTAATGGTATTTTAAAGTCATGCATTTAGCTATGGGAAAAGTGATTTTTATATCAAGGTGTCCGGTTTTGAGATGAGACGAAGGATATGAGTCTGGAGGAGGAGCTTTTTGACTTCCTGAAACATCTGGACACCATGGTTAGTTTACCCCGTGGATTTGAGGGCGTCACGGTAGCCCATTCTGTGCTATTCTGAGCTGTTCCTGTGAGCTCTGATTCATCCATGAGGCCGCATGTTAGGACATTGCTGACCCAAGTATCCGACATGCACTTAGTTATCTCAAATAGGTTCTCAACAACTGTGGGCTCTTGACATTTACCGTTGGCATTTAGCAATGACATTTAGCGACGGGGAAAGGTGATCATATATGCGAAGACAAGGCATTCCCCGTCATCGGTTTAGCAGATATGA